TTTGTTTGAAGTGGAGCATAAGGTTGACGGAAACCCGGGGACTGCGCCTACCTGATGAGCCCCAAGAAGGGCGAAACCGGTCGTGGGCTGTTGACGGATTTTCAGCAACCTTATGAGTAGTAGGTTACAAAGATATACTACTTAGCCTAGCTGTACGGATGACTAAAAATCGGGCGAAGCAAGTGTGAAAGGTCAAATCCAGTCAGTGGGAACGCGTTAGATCGATAACAACAAATTTATTGAACTCCCAGCGCCTGCAATGTATTCTGGTATGTGAGAGTCTACGCGCAAAATGCCTGATAACTGGCAGTTAAAACTAATAGAAACTGCAGTTGCATGATGTCGGCTGTAGAATATTATCCTTCTGTACGGTGGAAGTATTGCAGAAGAACAGTTAGTGACTACCATGTGTAGTACCATCAGGAGACTTTGGATAGAAACTTGTTTACGGTTGAACGGTGGATTAAGCGAAGACCACGTGACTAAGAGAGAGGAAATGATTTGAGCGTTTTAAGGATTCTGAGATTCTCTTTGAGCACGTACCTACCACTGATGCACCACTAATAGACGGATTATTAATTCGGGCGCCTAATCGTCGTTTTAATGCACATTCTAGGTTACTGATCACCCACAGGATGGCACCTCCTCTTTGCCAATTCGATGACGGATTAAATATGGTGATCAAATCGCTGTTGAGAACTGTCTCCAGCAAGCTTTGGTCTTCACTTTTAAGCGTAGATTTTAGCGCGGATGAAAAATAACCCCTAGGTGAAAATGTTCAAGCACTTTAGAGGTTGGTGAGTTCTTCGGAAAGCACACGGATGCCTACAACCACTAGGTGGGGAAGTTGAAACACATTGTAGGGCATTGTTGAAGGCATTTACTGTACTTTAGTAGTTTTTTGGGAAGAAAAAATCTTTACTAGGTTCGGTTTTAGGATTTCCTCACCAACCCCAATCCACCACCAATGGGGGAAGTTTATTTTGGCGGATTTTATGGACTAACAAATAGTTGAGCGACTTTGTGCACTTTTTATTCTGTTTTACGTCTTGGAGTTCACTAACAGTGTGTGCCTCTGTTTGTTCAAATCATGCGCATAATTTTCGGTGAATGACGGATGTGACAGAGCTATAGAAGCCTTCGTTTTGAAATGTTCTGAATGGACACCTTGTCTGAAGAAAAGCATGTGCAAGGATAATTTCCCGATGAATGAAGCTCAGGACGTAAAACAAGCGTTTTGTCTTGGTGATGAACAGGACAAAGATGTCTGTAAGTGAGTCGTCCGGATGTTTCATTTCACTGTTTGTTGACGAAACCAAGTAAAAATGCACTTTCACGTCACTGTTGATCGAAAAGCGAGCTCAAATTGGAAATGTTTTGGTGTAGATTAGCAAATCACTACTTGCGCTAGATATAAATTTAATTCAGGTATTATCTGAAATGTAAGTTTGCAGTCTGAGACTCACATAACCTGCGGCAAAGATGAGCAAACATGTGGTCACCTTCACTGCCATAAACTTTGGCCGAGTATTTCAGATTCCATTGTTTTCTGCAGGTTAGTGTACCAATGAATATTAACAGAATTAACAGGACAGAATTAACCAGAACAGTTACTGGGTCGTCGTTTGATGAGTCGGGTACACCAATCACATCGCTCAAGTGTGAACACGTTCGCCTGTTCAGACGTGATAAGTCAGATGCGTCCAACGTGCGTTGGTGGAGTGGTGGTTACACGTTCGCCTCGCATGTCTGGGTTCCGGAGTTCAAACCCCAGCACGGTCATTGGATATACCCTGCTGATGAGCTCTAATTGGAGCGAAACTCGAGTCCAGTGCTTCCCCCTCATTTGGTGTACATTCACCAGGATAATTGCGTCAGGACAGGAGGACGACCGTTCAAAACGAGAGTGATGTGAGACTGAACCCGCAAACCTCCCACATGACGTCTTCATAAAAAGACGGTCGCGGTCCGAGAGTACTGACTTTATTTTCGTCGACTATGATTCCGGGACTGTGTTGTAAAGTCTCCACCGTCGGTTCGTCAGGATTGTCCCTGAAGACTTAGTAGTCTGAGGATCCAATGTTAAACGACATCCTTATCGAACATACACCATCTCGGTGTGTTCAGCCGAAATTCTTCACATGATTTTAGTGGTCTGTTAAAAAATTCTCTCTGATAAATATGAGAACTCCCTGCAGTTTGGGCATTTTTTCACTGTTATAGTGTATACTGTCAATCATAGGGGTTGTTGGCAACCTGGCTGACCATTTTATCTCATGCTGTCAGCCAACGGTGTCTAGCTGGATAACTGATTCATTTTGACACAGAGCTGCTGTTTCAGGTCCTCCCCATGCGTATTAACCATAAACAAACTACTTATAGAT